GTGTGTGTTGTCGTACAGAGAGGAGCTCAAGCTGCGGCGGAGGGAGACGTACCGTGATGAAACTGGTTGAGTCGTCGGTCGCCCTTGCGTGTGCGGAAGGTGAACAGGGAGTCCGAGCTGGTGTTGACGTTGCAGTCCGGGAACGAAAGGAAGGCTCTGCACCGGAGAAAGGTAAAATGGAAATATTAATTAAAGGAATTAAAAAAACAATAAACTTATAAATACGTACATGTTCTTCTGCTCTTCTGGTGGCAAAGACACCTCTGGTTGACATTCCTCGAGAGCTGTAGAAGATAAATCAATAAATAATAAATAAATAAATCGCTCCATCATCACAAGTGATCCATCAATAACGGGGGGGGGGAGTAACTGTGTCCGTATTCCAGATCAAACTTGACGACACAGAAGCACGTAATCCACGGGCTGGCCACTATTATGGATGCCTCCTCCATCTTTCGTAGCCGCTGCAGCGTTGGGGTCCCACTGCCTCTTGGGCTGTGTGTTGTGTTTTATGTCCCTTATCTCCGTGCAAGCGATTCAACCGCCTTGCAGGTCAACCAATGCGTGCCACACGCCTGAGTGCTTGAAGCGGGTGCCGGGTAGTGTGGGATGGGGGAGCAACTGGAAGGCGCTCTCTCCCTCGTATCAACACAAGTCGGTGCTTGCTCAAGACTCTCTGGAAGGAGTTATGGAGCTGCCACAGGAGGAACGAGGAACTGTGTTCCTGTCCTGCGAACGCTGCGCCAGTGCTATGGCAACAATGCTGAAATTCCTGGCGATCTCCAAGGTGCTCTTGACTGGAGCATGGGTCAGGTCTGGGGCTACTGATCGCAGCCAGATCATGACCACCAGCTGCGGTTCATCTGCACAGGCGCTGTCAGGTCTGCACAAGCCACTGAACTTTCACCTTCTTGTTGCAGATGATCTTCTGCCAACACCGTTTAGCCTTGGTGATTGAAGTGGCCACCACTTCAAACAACGAGCACGGTGGGATCAGAGAGCAAGGCGCGTACAAGAACGAAGAGATCTGTTGAT